CGGCAGAAGCTGCTCTCGGACCTGATCCACAACCTGAGCGAGAACGCGCTGGCCGAGCAGAGGGAGGAGGACGGGAGCTGGTTCGAAGGTGCGTCCGCCGCCCGCCCGAGAGAGGCGCTGCGCTCAGTCCTCCTGCCCGAACGAAAAGCCGTTCGAACACGGGGCAGTCCTGGCCGCCGTGGTGCGGTACGTGGCCAGGGGACTAGTTATCACTTACATTAGCGAGAGGTTTTAAATCTCTTTAAAATATATGCATATTTACTATCAGGAAAGGGAAAAAATACCAAGGTTCCATATTGCTGTATCCAAGATTGCTTCAGAATATGTTTTTTCCCCATTAAAACAGGTCTGCATTTACAGTCCTTTAACAGTTTGCGAGTAATATATTGATAATCTCATGTATCAGCCAGCTAACCTTTCTTTATGTTTTCTTTATACTTTCTTTGCAAATTCCTCCTCCCATTGTTGCAGTTTCTCCTGAACAGTTCAGTTTTGCTTTCACAATCTCTTAAGTGTTCTGTGTATGCACATTAAAAAGAAACATTTAAGGACTATAATGCACCTACTGCTCTCACAGCAGATGCTCTGGAGGGTCCTCTTAAGTGCTATGAGCAGCGTAGTCTGGAACCACTAAAATGAAAATGGGAAGGAAGAAAAATACTGAGTTTTTTTTTTGGAAAATAAAAAAGCTTTATCTCTTTATATGGGCATTTTTATAAGAGATACCCAGCTAGGCAGAAGCACAGCACTAAAAATACCAAGTTACAACACAGTCTGACTCTCTTTAGGTCTGGAGTCCCGTTTTAAGAGCAAATCAAGCTACATGCGATACAGTTGTGAAAGCAGAATACGAAGCTACATGAAAGAGGTAGATGTTTCTGTTGAAGTAACTTATTTTCAAGCCTCTAGGAAAAGTAATTCTGTGACCACGTATATAAAAAACCCTTCTACAGTGCAACATAGTGATTGTAGAAAAGAGCCTCAGGCTGCTACAGACACCAAGGAATGATTGGGTGGGGTTTTTTTTCCCCTCTAGGTTAGCAGTTTTACTTCAAATGTTCATCCTACCGCAAGAGATGCATATAAAAGGATAATTGAGCTGATGTCAGATAAACTAAAGTCTGTGAAATACAACGGGTGCTACTTTGACAGGAGAGAGGAGGCGGCAGCCCGCCTGTGCACGGCGGAGGGGTGGTTCTCCTGCCAGGTACGTGCCCGTTCCACGAGCAGTGCCAGAGGAGCAGTGCCTGCGAGCACAGCCCCGTGCTGGGGGTGACAACGCTGTGCTGGGGGATCCCCCTCTGGCTCTCGTGGGCGGGAGGGCCGCGGGGGGTGACGAGCGGCACGCGCCTCACCGCAGCCCTCCTGTTTTACAGGGGCCCTTCGACAGCCCCGACTGCCCCTGTAGGCATTCCATCAACCCCTACGGAAACCGGGAGAGCAGGATCCTCTTCAGCACCTGGAACCTGGATCACGTGTACGTACCGAGCCGCCCACCTCCTGCCCCTGCCCCGGTAGGAAGGGCACAGCCCTGGAGCCTCTACCCCCAGCTCCACAGCAGCCCTGCGCTCTGCAAACAGATGCTGCAGCTCTCTCCTGTAACATAAAATCCTGAAGACAGGCTATAACACTGCCTCTCAGCAGCCTCCTTCAGAATTCTGTGTGTGGGAACACACCCCTCCCCACCACGCTGTCCTCTGGCAAACCCCTCAGGGCCATTTTCAGGCATTGTGCACTTGTGAAGCAAATGGGATTTGCTAAACTGATTTCCTCAGGAAGAAAAATAAATCATAAACCATGTTACGGCCGAAGAATTCAAATTCTGCCTGGCTGTAGAAGGAAGATGGGGATGTGGTTATTATGAGAAAAGTTTTGATGGCAATATTGTTTTCTCTTTTGTGTGCTGAAGAATAGAGAAGAAACGTGCTGTTGTTCCAGAGCTGGCAGAGGCTGTCAAAACACGAGATGGAAGAGAAGTGAACTGGGAATACTTTTATCAGCTGCTGTTTACTGTGGATAATTTAAAACTTGTACACATTGCTTGCCATAAGAAGACCAATCACAATCTCAGCTGTGACAAAACTAAAATCTATAAGAAAAGGAAGCAAAACCACGAGATTTCATAGTGCTATCTCTGGAAGTGACAGCCACTTTTTTTTTTCACAGACATAACACGTGGTATCCTTTTTAAATAGCTCTAGTTTCTTAAACAAAAACTTATTTAGGAGTCCCTGGCAAAGAGACTTGCTAAGTAATTCAACTGCCATCTCACAATGCATACATTCATACTGTGCCTAATTCCACTCCCTCCTTGCTCACTACCAACCTTCCCCAGCTCACGCTGTGTTAGGTGGGGTAAAATACAGCTGGGAGGCAGAGCACAGAAAGGAGGTTGGAGGCTGACCTGGGCTGCACCCTGCCACCTCTTTCTTGCCATAACAAATGTAGCCCCAAAACTCCCAGTACACAGAAATGAAAGGCAGACAAAACATTTCTTAAAACTAATATCAGAGAGGACTTATAGAACGTTAAGCCAAACAAAGAATAGGGTAATTCTCTGTGCCTTTTCAGGTAGATAACCACTATTCCAGTAATCCAAAGGGTGACTCTGTGACAGAGCTGATGGCTCTCTTCCACCAAAACACCTGCACTCACCCCCACCATTTACTGCTGCTCTAGGTGAGCATCTCCTGGAAGGAAGAGCACAGCCACAGCTTATCTTTGCTTTCACCACCTTTGGTGCTTTCCCATTGATTTCCCTCCTTTCCAACAGTTTCTGCCTCTTCAACTCAAGCTTCCCTGAAGCAGTACAAGCATTGTTACTGTATAATCATGTTTACCTGGTGCTTTAGAGACTATTGCTTTTGTAAAACACTTCCTACCTCAGCTAACAAAGACACAAGGAGATCAATTTTTACTTGATTTTTTTTTCTAAATATCAGCTGATAGGAAATGAACTTGTAGGGGTTGTCAGTATAAATGATGTGAATTTTTTAAAAATAAAAACATTACCACCATCTTTCTGTGTATGTGGAGACAGAGGTGCCTGAGCAGTTGATCAGGTGCAGTACTGCATGGCCAATGCAGACTGAGCACAGGGAAACGTGTTCCTGTTTAAGTAACACCACTCATCTCTAGGGGAGAGCTGTTCTTTCTCCCCTGGGGAAATCCAGCTAGTCCACACACAATTGTGTTAAGACAGAATCACTGTGTGAGCCTTAACTTACTAGGTCTTGGAAGCCCATGAGCCACAGAGTATTGATTTACTTCAGAATAACAAACTCAATCCCCCTCCCAAACATTTACATGTGGAAAGTGAGGAAGGTGCATTTTAAATGCAGGATTTCTAATACCAATGCATGGAATCGACCCTTGCAGAGCACCTCACTGGGTACACGTCAGCAGTAAGGAAATGGAGACTCAGACTGCGCCGTGCTGACGCTGGGGAAGGTGTCACAGCTCAGATTCTGATGACAAATAGAGTGTCACTTGCTTCCCACAAACCAAAAATCACTGTTCTGCACGGCGCTGAAACCAACGGGAGCATCCGTCTGTGAAACACTTGCTAGAAAGAGCCAGCAGCAAGTGTGGCAGTTAAGGAAAGCTGGGAGAGCTACTTCAAGATGGAGTTGTGCTGAAAACCATGAATATGCTATTAAAAAATTAGATTTTTCTGTTACAGAATTAGAGTGAAAAGGAGCCAAGAAATATCACTGACAGAAACAATGCATCAGCTGGAGTGGAAATGTGAATAAATTAACATGTCATACATATACAATTTGTTTGGCTTACAACTTTTGAATGTTTAACAAGCTATAGCTGTAGGAATTAATATTTATTTAAACCTTCTGCTGATAAAATTTTCTCTATATTTTTAGAAATGTAGAAGAAACTATTTATAACAATAAAGATCTGGAATCTTATTGCATAATCACACTTTCAAAGAAGCATTATCATAAACACTGGGTGAGGAAACAGTTCCTGAAACTATCTGAGGTTGCTCACCATCTGCTAAAAATGCAGGCCAGAGTCATCCCCTTGGTGGGCTGACCCACATCCCCAGCAATCAGCACTCCTTCATCTCACACGGCAGGGGCCAGTGTCCCTCTTTGTGCAGGGAATTTGCCTGGCTGTGGCACTAACTGGATGCTGCAATGCCAAATGTCACAGAGTCGAAAGAGAAAAGAACCTTGTTCTAACAGTTTTCTTGGCTATTTTTAAAAAAGGAGTGGGACCAAACGTTCACCCTGATGTGGGCTCAAATGTCTAAAAAAAGCAGTAAACAAACTGTTTGGTTTCCAAATACTACCAGTAACACAATAAATCACAATTTCTTTCCAAATCACTGAAAATTCAGTCAGTCTTTGCCCCAGATAACCGTGGGAGAATACTGCATCTGCCAATTCCAGAACTCCACCAGTTCTGTGAAAAGGCAAATGCAGACACCTTATGTTAGTGACACAGCCAGCCTTTGTTACGTGCTTACACAGAAAAGAAAAAAAAAGGTTTACTCTGTTTACAGTTCATTGTTGGACAACATCCTCTTCCTCCTCCTCCTCATCTTCCTTTGCAATGAAATGTAGCTTTCTGAATTCTCGCCTGCTCAGTATTGTCCTCGGGAGTGCTGCTGCTGGGAGATCCTTTAAGAAAAAGATAAAGTCATGAAGGAAAGTCTGTCATGGTGAACAGCAGACCTCCTACCCCTCCAACAGTTCACGTTTCCACATCTGATCTGTGACACACCAATACACTCCTCTTCAGCTGGAAGCAGTGGCATAAACCCACAGCTAAAGCAGAGGAGGTTTTGAGGGGAGCTCGCCTGACCCAGCCACAGCTTCTGGTCAAGGCAAGGGCTGAGATTCCTCCTGTGGGCTCAACATGGCTCAGAGAGGGTGAAGTCCTCCACAAACAAGCTCTTTTAGCTGTTTCCCAGCCCTCCTGAAACAGCTAATAGAAGCCAGCATCGCTTGCCCAAAGTTATGCAGCGTTAAAGGCAGACCTGGGATTCAAATTTAAAGTGCTGATCCTTGATCCAAAAGCAGAGATGGCCAAAAATCAGCTTCCATTCCAAAGAATGGCAATAATCATGATTAAGAACCAGTGAAAAACTACTTTTGACAGAATAACACTGTATGAGTAAAGATATCTATCTTATGGAATTGAATGTGATTTCACATCTGAAATGAACTTGCCTTGGCAATTTTATGTTTTGGACAAATAATTCTATCCAGGGGACAGGGACACAACTCCAGATGTCTACCAAATCAGTCATGTTTACCCACAATTCTGAGGCTAGTGTACTGTTGTTTGAAGGTGCAAGCCTGAAGTGGAACAGAGCTGAGGCTGCAGAGTGAACAGGCTGTCAGCACCTCACCTGTAAACACTCATCTCCAAAGAAGAGGGCCACTGGCATGGGCTGGTTACTGTCTTCATTCAAGAAAGCACTGCTGTCTAGTTGTATTGGCTTCCCCGGGACATCTGCATCCTCCAGGCTAGACCCATCTGAAAATACACTCTCACAGCTCCTCTCCTCTTCACTGCAGATGTCCAGATGTTCATCACTGTCTATTTTCAATGAAGCACTGCTTGACTCCACTGCATGTGGCTTGACAGAAACATCGTGTCCCTCTTCCTTTTTGTCTTCATTAGTCTCTGGAATGCTTTCACGTTTTTTCTGTTGAATGATATTGTGGCCTCCTGGATCTTCTGAACTCTCATCCCCATCAGATGTTTTAGGTGTTTCCCTCAATGCAGCAAGGCTTTCGCTGTCACTTCCACATATAAGTCCTTCTTGTTCTGATTTTACTAGGCTGCTTTTTTCACATTTTAGCCTCTTTGAGGGTTGTCTGCCAGCTGCTTTGTTTGAGGAACATTTTTTGTAGGAGAATGTTTGAGGGAAAAAAAAAAAAAAAAAAAAAAAAAGACGACCCTAAAGCTAACTTGAAGTAAAGAAAAATAAAATCACCACACCTCTTCAGTTGCAAGGCTGGATGGGGAACCAAAGGGCCCCACTGAGCAAGTGGTGCCTTGATCCAAAGCTCCATCACTATGAAGAATGATTAGTATAAAGTCCACATGAAAAGAGGAGCTTATGCTAAACCACAAGCACAGTCCATCACCAGTGGGAAGCTACTTCTCAAGGCATAAACTAGCACCGCAGATGGCTAATCATCATTTTAACGTTTTCTTACGGATGCTGTAGATGGCAGTTGAAGTACAGAGGGGACTATCCCCGGCTACTGGCACTGCCGCCGGCCCTGGAGCAGAAACGACTCCAGGCTGGCCTCGTAGCACACCTGCGCCCCAGCAGAGTGGCGGGAGGGTCGGAAAGGTGAAGGATTTATTTAAATTCTCCAGGTAAAGCCCTCCGGCAATGCTCAGCTTG